TCACGAGGCATTCCTCTTTAATCAGGTTCTAGGGAAAATGTTTATTATCACTTTATAACCTCCATCATGGATCTCTACTCATTTTGGCTTAGAACCTAATTTTGCCTCAAGTCATTATTATTCCTTTTTTTCTTGGAGTTGGGCTTTGTGTATTCCTGGGTTATGATAAGTGTGTGTGTGTGTGTGTGTGTGTGTGTGTGTGTTTAAAACTTTGTTTTAAATGATTTTGTTTTCTGATTGGGATTTTGGGAAGCTATAAAATATTTTTGGAGAACTAGAGGCAGATCTCTCTCTCTCTCTATCTCACATAAATATCCCAAATGGACAAGCTGGGTATCAAACCAATATCACTATATGGGATAAACATTTATTACCAACTATATGATATATTTTAAACAATCTTCCATAAGCCATTTATACATACCTGACATTATGCAGCATATCAATTTATAATTCTTCAAAAATTAAAGATTAAGAGGTGTCATGACATAATTTAATTATACCTGCCATTTCTTGAAGAGAGATTGACATGCATTTTCTCTAGTTCTCACCATACTTAGCAAAATGAGTGATATTATCTTCATGTTAAAACAAGAAGAACTTGGAGCCCAGAGATGGCAAAGGTCTTTGAATTCATCCAGCCGGTAAGGGGTGGGTTTGAGATGTGAGTTCTGGGACACCCACTTCTTTAGTCCATTGTCTTTTCTTGCACTGGTTGCTAAGGCCACTTTCTTCATATCAGCTCCTGGGTGATTTTAAGATATGTCTACAGACTCTTTGGTTTTCCTTCTTTTCAGAGATGGAGTTTAATTCTTTACTTGAGTGTGGTCTGGACGTGGCAATTCACTTTCAACAAATAGAACATAGAGGAAATGACAGAGTGTGACTTTCAAGGCCAGGTTCTGAAGGCGCTGAGACTTTCTCTGGCTCTCTCTTGTCTCACCTGTCTGTTTTGGGGAATGTGACTGTCACATCATAAAGACCCTCAGGTGGCCTTGGGGAGAGGTTCTGAAGCTACTCAGTGAGGACCCATCAGCAGCCGTGTGCGGGAGCCTCCCTGGAACTCTCCAGCTTCTGTCAAGCAGCCCTGGCTGTTATCATGGCTACAACCTTGTCAGACACCCTGCGCCACAGCTGTAAAGCTGAGCTGCTCCTAAATTCTCCACCCACAGAAACGGTGAGATAATGAATGTTTGTCACTTTAAGCTGCTTGGGAGTAATTTATTATGCAGCACCAGAGCACTCATACAGATAATGCAGCATTCCAGGGCTTTGCTCTAGGACTTTGTGTCAGCCCTTGGCAGTGTTTAGATCTCTCTTTTAATGAATGCCTGGCTCTGCCTATAGCAGCTGTGCTTCCCTGCTCCTTCTGAAGTTGGTTTGCTTTTTCTGTGGATGAGATTGTAAGTCCAGCTCATAAACATCTGGGGGTGAGTGGCACTTTGTCCCATCACCTGGTAGCCGAGCCAGATGCTCTCCCCTCAAGCAGTCCTGAAGAGCAGCACTTAGAGCACTGCTGGGAAGTCCAATTAAGAGCTGACCGGAGCAAAAGAAGCCCTGCCAGAGCTCACTTAGGCCCTTAGTGTCCGAGACAGACCACAGACAGCCATACGTTTTAATGTTTGTAAAACTCCTGCGTTCTCTTCCTGTGTAAAATTGTATTAGAAGGAATTAAAACACCTTGCCTAGGTTATCTCATCAAGCCTTCAAAGCACAGGAGTCTCCCTCTAAAGCAGTACTTTTGTGGTTTCCAAAACTCATGGTTGAAACGAGGTCTTTGACTCAAAATTTGGCTGACAGATATTTAATAGCTGCTAGGTGTCAAAGGGCCAGCAATGAGCATAATGGACCAAACCCACGCCCTCATGAAATTCATGGTCTAGTGAGGAAGACAGCCAACAGGCAAATGAACAGGGAACAGGTAGTGAGGGCAGGGCCAGGAGGTAAGTGCAATGGAGAGAAGTAAAGGGAGGTAAGTGAGGGCAGCGCCGCCGGGAGTTCGTATTATGGGCCTGCAGGAACAGAATGGCTCTCGGAGGGGACCCTGGGCAGGAAGGCCAGTGCTGAGAGTCTCCGGGGCGCATCCCAGGGAATGGGCACGTCTTGTGGGCAGAGTGAGAGCAGCCGTGGGAAGAGCAGCAAAAGGACACTAAGATTTCTATGTAAGGAGTCACATAACAAATGACTCTCGATTTATAGAGTTTTAGAAAAACTCAGAAGATCTGAGGTTGGATAGAAGAAATAAAGGATAGGCAAAAAAAGACAGCGAGCAAGTCAGGAAATCATAACTAAAAGTTGGACTTTTAAGAAGACTTAACTTCTGGGTCTCAGATGCAGTTCTACAAGGTGATCCACTTCCACATTCCCTGCTTAAATTGAGGTGCCTTTCCTTCCAGATTCATCACACCCCAAACTCCTCAGGAATACTCAAAGTCCATAAATTGGCTTAATTGAGAACGTAAAGAGCAGGAATCTGATCCTAAAATGAAGGAACAGGTTGAGAGAATTCAAAGAATGCTTAAATTAGTCAGGTCATACCTGTAATATGGGTCAGTAGCCTTCTGGGAGGTGGGCCATGTCTTCCCAGGGTTCCTACCCCTAAAGAGAAGCATAAAAGTTCCCTGTTTCAGGAAATAAAATGTCTCTCTCTCCTGAGGGCCTACACTCTACTTTTTGAGTGTGCACTAAAATCTCTGCCTAATAAGCTCTTCTTGAGCCTCTTACTGATGCATCCTAAAAATTGTTTTGCCAGGCGTCCTCCAACCTGTAAGTCCAATCTATGTTTATGGTAGGCAAGGTTCCTTATCTCAGCCTCAGGAACCTCCTCAGACCCGGTCTGGCGACAGACTAATCTGTATTCTTTTTGGTGAGAAAATAACGACCATGTAGGTTACAATGTCTGCCTTTTGGCCCGTGCATTTCCAGAGAACTCAGAGCTGAATTCTGTACCCACTGAAGGTTGGTCAGCAGTTTTTCTCAGGGTCTGGGAACGGCTGCCCACTCTGCTTCTTTCTAGAAATAAATTAGAAAATAAATTATTATTTGTTCTAGACCTTCTCATGTATGCTGTGCTACCTCAAGTAGTAGAAGAATGACATTTTTAGTTGTCACTCAACAGGTTTGCCACCAGAAGCAAGGAAGTTGTAACAAGGAGCAGGTTTCATTGCCCTGTGGGTTCTTTGCACAAACATTTGTTAAGTGCCTATCAAGTTCCAGGAATTGGGTGGGGACCTGTGTAGAAAGATCTCACCCTGGGTGTGTTCCCTTCCATGCCAGGGTGCAACGCAAATAAGAATGCAAGTAATTACATAATCTGATGTGATGTGACACAGTATGGAGCCAAATGGGAGCGGCGGCTCAACCTGGGAAGATTTTGATGGAGGTCCCTCCTGTCCGCACTTATGGTAGGACAAAGGCCCCATCAGCCTGGGCACATGGTCCTGTCTGAGGAGGATGGTGACCAGCTACTCAGCCCCTCTGTACCTTCCTGAGTCACCAGCCCCAGGAGACCGGGGCTCAAGCTCTGCAGCAAGAGCTTTCCTGACAGAAAGAAAAAATAGATTAAAAATGCCTCAGCCTCACTCGGCCTCTTTTTAATTGATTTGCACAAGACTCTTCAATCACGGTATTAATATTTAATTGTCCTGTCAGGTCAGATCCTTCCCAGTATGACAGTTAAAAATGGCTTGGGACGGAAGAGGAAATGAGGTGGGGGTGGCGTGAAATGAGGAAAGAGAGGTGCTCAGTGAGAGGGGATTCAGAGCTGAGGCACAAGGAAGGGAAGCCTCTGGCACTAGGGTCCCGGCAGGAGAAACATCTAGCTCTTTCTGTTTCTGTCCCTTCCTTATACATCCGTGGAATTACAGCAGTGTTTGTTCAAAGGGCTATTAAAGGAAGCTGGGTGTGCGGTCACGTGCCTATCATCTCAGCACTTTGGGAGGCTGAAATAGGAGGATAGCAAGTTCAAGGCCAGCCTAGGCAATACAGTGGTTTAATCAGACCCTGCCTCAAAAGAAAACAAACACATAAATAAAAAGGGCTGAGGATGTAGCAGAAAGGCTACCAAAGGGATCATGTCAGAATATACACAATACCAATGCTTACAGAGAAAAGGAGGTGTTTCTTCCATGGGCCCCCAGGAAGCTGGTTCTCTGAGGAAGGGTTCAGAGGTGAGGAGTTCACGGCACCTCTGATTTCCAGCTTTGTGAGGGTCTAGTGGTATTTTGATTCTGTGCAGCCCCAGTGGAACCTGATGTACACGCATGTTTCTTCAAAAAGAGTGTCCGTGTTGGCTGCCCCAATGTCAAGCAAAGAAAAATGCAGTAAAGAAAAATGACTCAGGAACTATTTTGAGTCAGAGCACTCTCAGAGACAGTGAAGAAATGTCTCAATGTGACTCATCAAAGGGGCTATTAATAGGCAGGGGATGAGAGAGACAGAACTGAATCTCATTCAGGTTCAGCCTCTCCCTTTATTTATTCTTTCTTTAAAAAACAGAAACGTAGAGGTAAAGGTTTTCCTGTCAGGTTAGAGTGGAGTCGCGGAGGATGAAGAGTGCCCATCTGGGGAGCAGCCAGGGGTCCATCTGCCCTCCCACAGCCCAAGGGGGAAATGAAGCTCTTCCCCTCCAGACACTAGCTACTGTCTTTTTAAACCACTGCTGATTCCTTTGCTGAACACAAATCTAAGAAGTTGATAGTCCCAAGAAATTACATTGAGGTGATACTTTATTTTCATTATTCTAGGAAGAAACACTTGAATTTGACCAACATCCCTTTCAGCTCTCTGTATGTCTGCTTGGTGTGGAGCAGAAGTTCTTATTGAGAATCATCTGGCCAAAAGGGGACTTTGGAAACGTGTGGGTACTGGGTTGTGAGTGGTTGGGCTGGGATGGTCTCAGCATTTAGTGGAAAAGGAAGAGATGCTAGACTGTCTGAGAGGCTCTGGACGCCAGCCCACTCCACAAAGCTGCCCTATCCTGTGTGACTCACTGTGGATTGTTAAGTGCAGAGCGTGTTTAGGATGATTGGAGCCTAAAATGGAGTTCCACATTACACATGAACATAGAGTATTTGCTCCATGATTTTAAATGCATGAAGTTTTCTAGGAATAAAGTTGGGGAATCAAGGAGAGAACGGATTTTCTGTTGTTCCAGACTTTACCAAGAATTTTATGTCTTTTGTATTAATCACATCCCTGATGACAATCTACTATGTAACTGAGTTACCACACACACACACACACACACACACACACACACACACACCAGTTACAGCTACCACATTTGAAGAGCTCCTCTTTCGGCATGCAGCCCCTTGCCTTCTTCACCCTGCCTTCTAACGTCATCATGCCAAATCTCTGCATCTTGAAACACACGCGATGTCACCATAAGGTATGTTTATTTCTTTTGATATTTTAATTAGAGCATTCTATTGATGTTTAAAGTTGTGTGTATATAGGTAGGTGAAATTAATTTCATTTCAAGAATACAAAAGGAACATCATAGAATATTTCTTAGAGGCGAGGCAAGGCACCGAGTCCTACCCAGGTCCTGAGCTAGGATCAAGATCCCTAAAATGGCATAAACTCCCAAGGGAAGAGCCAGGTGGGAGGGTCATCAGCAACTAGACTCCCTGACTTACGTTCTACACAGAAGCTCAAATGTCTTAAATAAGCTCCATGGCAGTTTTGAAAATCAATAGTGCAAGGATTGTGGCAGGATCCTCAGACTCATGGGGCACTACAGGGTCTGTGGCAAGCTGGAGCTTGGCACCTGCTGACTGTTGCCCTGGAGCATAGCAGATGCCAGGTCTTCCAATTTTCAAGGGAAGTTGGCTATCCGGCAGCTCTGTTAGTTAGAATGAAGCTGAACTGCTCTGCCAATAGTAACACTGTTTATGGTACCAAAACACTGAATTCCTTTGCATGTCAAAATCATAATAGGAAAGTTCATGCTTGAGGTTGGACCATCACTTTGTCTGCGGGTCAGCCTGGAGAAACGGGAAGAGGGCAGGAAAGAAAGCACAGGCTTACAAGGGCCCAGACTGGGAAGTGGCCCACCCCAGGTTCACAAAACTGGTGACTATGTCTTATGACTAGAAGGTAAAGGACATCATTAGCTGGGCAGCCATCGCCTGGCTACAGTGTGGAGGGTCTCTGCACAATACCTAATTCAAATATTTAAAGTACGTCCTGTGGACCGCTCCTGTGTCAGCCAGGGGGATGAGTTTACAAAAGGACTGCCAATCCTGCCTGCTAATTTAGTTGGAGATTTAAGCTCTACATGTGGAGAACTGATTCAGAATGAAGCATGGGGAAGAAGGCCCTTCAGGGGGTGTGTAAGTGGGTGGAGGTTGGGCCGCTCACAGCAAACACTCGGAGGATGACTTTGCGTCATCAGAGGATGACCATAGACCTTGAATATAGACAGGGAGTTTTATGCAAGTCAACTGTTCCACTCCAGGGAAACTGCCAGGCCTGTGTAGGTGCTCTTTTTTTTTTTTTTTTAATTTTAAAGAAAAGGAAAAACCCCAATAAAAACCATGGTATAAAACTTCAAAACAAAGTTATAGGAGAGTAACAATGCTTAGTACCTTGTGTATTGTTATCTTCAAAGTAGTTGATTACAAGATATAGGCATGAAAAACTGGTCAAACAGTAGGGGCATAAACCCTTTTTTCAATGAACTAATAGCTATTAGTAATATAACTATCTTAACTATCTTGTGTGTGTATATATATGTTTATTTATTTTTCCCTTTTCCCTTCCTTCTTTTCTCCGTTCCCCCATTCCAGTTTTTCTTTCCTCTTGAACAGTTTCTTCCCAGTTCACAGTATCTATTGTACATTTTGGATCTTATTCACTCTCAGCTTCTTACACTAGTGAGACAACATGATGTTTACACATTTGAGACATTTATTTCACTTATGAGTATGGTCTCTAGTTGCATCCATTTACCTATAAAAGTTTCAAGTTTATCCTTCTTTATAGCTGAGTAGTGTTCTACTGTATAAAAATATCACAACTTTTTTATCCATTCCTCAGTGGATGGGCACTTAGCTTGTTTCCAAGATTTAGCTATGACAAACTGTGCTGCTATAAACATGGCTGCACATATATTGCTGTGCTATGATGTTTTTAATTCTTCCGGGAAAATACCCAGAGGGGATAGATGGGTTGAATGGGACCTCTAATCTTAGTTTTTTGAAGAATATCCACACTGATTTCCATAGTAATTACACCAGTCTAAACTCCCACCAACAGTGGGGAAGGGGTCCTTTTTCCCCACAGCCCCTCTAGCATTTGGTATTAGTTGATTTCTTGATGATAGCATTTTTACTGGGGTGATATGGAATCTCAGTATTGTTTTAATTTGCATTTCTCAAATGACCAGTGATGTTGAACGTTTTTTCATATAGTTATATGCCATTTGTATTTCTTCATCTGAGAAGTGTGCATTCACCTCAGCTGCCTATTTTTGGACTAGGGAGTCTGAATTTGGGGAGTCTGATTTTTCTCAGTTCTTTACATGTTCTAGGAATTGCTTGTCTGAGGGACAGTTACCTAATTTTTTTCCTGCTCTGTGGTTTGTCTTTTCACTCTGTTGGTGATTTCTTTTAATGTGCAAAAGCTTTTTAGTAGAATGAGGTCCCAGTTGTTGATTCTTTGAAGTGTTTTCCATGCAGTTTGGGTTTTGTTCATGAAGTCTCTGCCTATCCTTGTGGATTGGAAGTCCCATTTAACCCAGCTATTCCTCTTCTGGGTATTTTCTCAGAAGAATTACAAACATCATAGCACAGCGATATATGTGCACCCATGTTTATAGCAGCACAATTTGTAATAGCTAAATCTTGGGAGCAACTCAAATGCCCATCCACTGAGGAATGGATAAAAAAGTTGTGATATTTTTATACAATGGAACACTACTCAGCTATAAAGAAGGATAAACTTAAGACTTTTATAGGTAAATGGATGCAACTAGAGACCATACTCATAAGTGAAATAAATCAGACCCACATGTGTAAACATCATATCGTCTCCTTGGTGTAGAAACCTGAAAGAATACATAAAACACAAAACATACGATAGATGATAGGAAAGGGAAAGAAATTGCTCAAAGGAAGGAACAACTGGGATAAGGGAAAGAAGAAAAAAGAATGAAGGAAGGAAAAATATAAATATATATATGAGTAGCTGTGATAACTGTATTGCTGATGTCTGATGGTGTATGTCTTGAGACTCTGTATCATTTTGAATGTTCTTGTTTTGATTTGTTTATGTTTGTGATACTGGTATGCTGCTACTGTTCTATTTCTTTGTTTCTCATTTACTACTCTCTTTAAAATAAAAAGAAAAGAAAGAGAGGAACAGTTAATGCTTAAAATTTTTTATGTTCTGACAAATTTTACATGCTTATATCTGATAATCTGAGCAACTGATTAACAATATGCAATGGAATTACCATAGTGAATTACAGCTGTAATCTGAGCAACATAGTTGAGGATAGCGATATGTGATATAACAACCACTGGTAGTTTGTATTATTTTGTCTTGAAACCCTGCTTTACTTTAAATGTTCTTGCTTTGGTTGGTTTATGTTTGTGATGCTGTATGCTGCTATTGTTCTTTTTTGCTTGGAAGATAGTTTGGTTTTCACGTACAGAAAGCTGAAGTATGCAGAAAAAAGACTACTGAGTTGCCTGCGATGCTTCCTGTGGTGAGGGAGGAGAGATCACAGGGGAAGGAATGGGCTGAGACAGGCTGATGGATTGAAGTGCAGAGAGTAAGGGACTGATTCTGGGAGCAATTCAGACATGAATAGCGGTAGTTTGGGTACCAGACACCAAGGGAACTTTGCATGGGGGAGTCAGCTGAGAGCAGCAAACCCTTGAGTGTTCCATGTGCTATTAATTGAAACAACATAGAAATCCTAGGAGGAGTTTCCTGGATAATGGGCCCTTTATCATCTGCCTTGAAGCATGGGGTAAATTAATATTCTAGAAAAGCATAACAGCTTCATTAACTTGCCAGGAATGTAGTGAAACTTTGATAAATACTTTCATGTGAGAGGACATGCTAAGAATGGCTGGCTGGCTGCAATTTGTACTGGACATTTGGAGAAAAGTTTGGGAGGTCGCTCATGGTTCTTCTCAAATTAGATATTTTGGTTACTGTCAGGTGTTGGCCTCTTGAACCCACCCAAGAAAGCTGTGACCTTTGAGGAACAGGCTTCCTCTGCAGAGGGAGAGGAGCTCAGGGAGAAGTCGGGCAACCCCTTACCTAGGATGCCCGTCTAGGAAACAGCAAACAGGTGGTGCCCACGTGGCTCAGGATCTAGATGGCATTGTACCTTGCCAGTCATGGCAGCCTGTGAAGATGTCTGTAGCCTCGGGCTGGTGGGCAGTGTCAGCATCTGCTCTCACATCCTCACAGTTTTGAAAGGCAGCCACAGGTCTTCATTTGCGGGCAGGTGTGGGGGACTGCAGGCGTGGGCCTCAGGCAGAGCCAAGGCTATGAGGGGATGCAGCCTCCATGGCCCAGCAAAAGCTTGGATGTGTCTGAAGATCCCTGGGGCACTAACATTAACTGATCAGGCTTGGTTGAAGGAAAGGGCTTTCTCTGCAAACAGTATAGGTCCCTGGAAGTCACGTGCCAAGTTAAGTTACTTGTGTGAGGGAGGAGAAGGGAATGAGGCTGGAAGTCAGGAGACTTGGCCTTTAAATTTAAATTGCACTAACTAGCTGTTGACTTTGAGCATGTCAGTTTCCTTCTTTGTGTCCTGTCTTTTGCCCCTGTTCTCCTCTGGCTGGATTTGTTCAGGGCTCCAGAGCAGATGGACATGTTTGGCGAAGGCCCAGAGTCCCACACCTCTGCAGAGGGTTAATGTCAGTGATTTTGATTTCCCTGCACCTCACAAGCCTGTCAGGATGCTCAGTAAGTACCACCCAGCAACGGGTTCAGGTTCAGAGACTTCGGTCTGAAACATTCTCTACAAGGTCAAGTAGACCACAGATAACCTTAGGGGACAAGGACTCTTCCTCCTGCAGCTCCCAAGATCAACCAAAAATAATGAAAACTTGGGGTCCAAGCATTACAACGGGGATAGGTCTAAAACTTCACCCCGAATATCTCAGAAGAGGATATTCTTCCAAAGACGCTAATTCAAATAATCTTAATTCTGAATGAGGCTGAAAAATGTACTTAGGGAAGAGATGGGATTTTTTTGCTGAACTGAGATCAAGTGTTTTTGAAATGATTCTGACTAACAACAACAACAAAAAGATCCAAATATACCTTATGAAACAATCAATCAAGGAAATGGAGGTTTCCATTATCAAAGTTAACTTAGCCAGAGTTGAAATGTAAGTATCTCGGAAACACCAGCATGTTTTCTTTCTAAGGGACTTTTAAAGATGAATTTAGCTCAACATATTCACTTTATAGATGAATAAACTCAGTCCCAGAGGAGGCTACACTAAAACAAGAAGAATGCATATTTAAAGTTTACTTCCTTGGGGCTGGGGATTTAGCTCAGTGGCACAGCACCTACCTGGCAAGTGTGAGGTCCTGAGTTTGATTCCCAGTACCAGAAAAAAAAAAAGTTTGCTTCCTCTTCTGCTGCATAGGGACGGGTGGATGTGGCCACAAGCTGTCCAGTCTAGGCACTTGGCTGCCCTGACATAGGCATGATTGATGAGGTGAGAGGTATGGTTTTATTTTGTTCCTTTGGAGAACATTCTTCTCTTTTTTCGGGGTCTGTCAGTCATGGTGTTGTCTCTCATGGGTGGGCACAAGACACAGGCTGGGCAGTGGTCTCAGGCATTGTTCTACAGTGAGTGTGTGAATCAGAACAGAACCAGTCTTTTCTTAGGATTTCTTATAGGAGTATTATATGGATGCTTCTAAAGCTGCTGGGCCTTGGAAGCCTGTTTCTGTGATTGCAAAGAGGCAGCTGTTAGGAGGGTAGAATGAAGGTACCCTCGAAAGAAGAAAACCCAGATCAGAGATAAAAACAGATGGCCCCTGACCTGCAATAGATATTTTGACAAAAAGTTTTTGACTTTACTATAGAGCAAAAATGATGTGCATTCAGTAAAAATCATATTTGTTTCAAATTTGAGAATTTTGCTCTTTTCCTGAGCTAGTGATATGTGATACGATACTATCTCACGGTGCCGGGCATCAGCCACGGCTTCTGGTCAGTCACATGATCGCAATCACTGATCACATATTCATTAATGAAACAATCAACAGACTGTAGTGTAGTGTGTGGCTAAGCTGTGATGTAGGCTAGGGTATTAAGTTCAAATTGATTTATGAAATTTTCAGTGCATGATGGGTTTATTGGGCTATAATCTCACCATAAGTGTGGAAGCAGTTGCAGATAGGTAGACAGAGGGACAGTAGATAGGAGACTATAAGTAAACAGACATGCTTACATACATAGAAACACTGATAGAATCATTTGTTGGTTTTTTGCTGGTGGTAGTTTGAAAGAAGTTTCTATCTCTTGCAAACAAACAGTGGCAATTAATAGAGTGGAAATGTGAGGGCCCTGTGACTTTGTTAATCTAAAGCAAATAATCTAAAGGGAAAGGAATGAGAAAACCTAGGTGGTCTTTTGGCACTTTCTGTAAAACTCATTGATTTAAACTCATTTTAAATAAAATGCTGGACCACTTCCAACTCGTTTCTGTTCCCTGAAAGCTCCGTGTTTTTGCCTGCTGTTACAAATGCCATCCACTCTACCTTCGGGACCTCCTGCCTCTTTCCTTTAACGTCCCTTGTCTGAGTAACTCCTATTTATCCAGCAAAACCCTGCTCTATCCCTCCCTTATTCATCAAGTTTTCAAGGATTTATTGATCCAAGTCCTATGCTGGGTGCTGGAGACACAGCAAAGAATGCGTCATGCATTTATTTGTTTTGTAGATATTTCTTGAATGCCAACTATGTAACAGTCACTGTATTAAGTGTGGGGAATTCAGTAGTGAGTGAGCAATACAGGCTCTGCCCTTGTGGAGTTTACTATATTGAGAGGTAAAGGAATTCATTTCGGGGTGAGACCTGTACTTGTGGAGCATATCTTAACCTTCCTCAATAGCTCTTTCTTGTGTTTTCGCTAGACAGTGAGGAATGGGAGGAAGGAGACTGTGTCTTTCATCTCCTGTCTCTGCGTGTGGCAGAGGCCTGAGGACATGCTGCCTGGCCTGAGACCAGCAGTCGTCCCTTACTCATGGAGGATGCTGTACAATTAGGTAGAGAGGAGGAGCTGCACTTCTCCAAGGTGCCGTGAACTCCTCTCCAGCAGTGAGTGGAAAGAGAACTTTAATGAGCTTTAAAAGAAGACAATAAGGAAGATACAAAGACGTGGCCATCTGGACTTCAGCTGTTTATGAGGATATAAACCTGGACCCAGACAACCCCTGATTAGACTCAGAAGGGAAGCCAGGTAGGCTTAATTTGCATCAAAACTTATTTGGCAGAATCCTTGGGCAAGGTTGTGACAGTCAGTGCTGTCTAACAACACTGCTGTGGACTCCTCCAGCTCAGAGCAGGAGAGGCGAGGGACTGGGCAAGGGGTCGGGGCAGGGCAGATGCAGGAGACCCTGGAAACTGTGGCCCTGGCAATAAAGGTGGGGCGAAGGCTGCCACGGCTTGGAAAACTGTGATGCCTTGGAAGCAAGGCTGGAGAGTCAGACGAGCTCACCTTGTCCAAACTTCCTGTTTAAATGGGAAAATGGAGGCCCAGAGAGGTTAAATGGCCAGAACATGGTCAATAACTAGTTTTCTCCAAGTTCCCTTGATTTAACACCCAGCTGAACCCCTTCAGGTAGCTTATGGGAACCATGGTGACTACCCCACCATATATAGGCATTTTTCTAGCTGGATATCCGATCTTCCTCCATTTTTCTCCCTTTTCTTCCCTCCCAAGATGAACTGAATGTCTGTATGCCCCAGAGACTGGGAGAGGTTCTCAGGACAGAGGTGCCCAGGTGTGACTACAGCCCTGGGGAGCTCACAGATGCATAACTGCAGGTAAGGTAACCGCAGGCCAGTGTCTGCAGGCAGGACACATATGAGCTCTAGTGCACAGGGGTCACCTAACTGTGCTTGGGGTGTGGGGACCACTTTCTGGAGAAGGCAATGCCTGTACTTAGTCTTAAAGAATGAGAGGGAGCCAAGCATGCGACAGCCGTAAGCAAATGCGATCCCAGGAATTTCTTTGGAGGTAAGTAACTGGAGACAGTGTGAAGAGTGGATTTAAGGGGAGCAGAGATTGGCAGACAAGATCTGTTAGCAGGCAGTCACTGAAGATAGAGGTTATGAGGACATAGGTTTGCAAATGGTAGACAAGCAGGAAGGAAATGTTTCAAGAATTATGTCAAAGGTGCCATCTGTAAACCTGCGGATAGGTGGCGGTAATGATGGGATGTTGGACAGAAGGAGGAGCAAGGCTGAGTCAAGGCTACTTCTTCCATCCTGTGTGGATGACTGATGCAAAGCACTAGGCTGCTTGCTGGAAGTGTCCATGTGAACAACCTTCTAGCTCCTCAAACATAAACTCTGCTTGATTTTCCACAAAACTGTTTTCATTTACTTGTTTTAATTGTTCCTGCTGTGGTTTGAATGTGGCCCCCCAAAGTTCAGGTATTGGAAACTTAATCCACAAATTTATATGTTAATAGTATCTAACCACTTAGCCCTTTGGGAGGTAATAATATGAGATGAGGTACTGATCGTGGTGCCCCCTGATGGCAGGAGTGGTCAAGAAAGATGAAGAAGGAGGAGAAGGAGGAGAAGAAGGAGAAGGAGGAGGAGAAGAAGGAGAAGAAGGAGAAGAAGGAGAAGAAGGAGAAGAAGAAGAAGAAGAAGAAGAAGAAGAAGAAGGAGGAGGAG